GAAAAATTTGTTAAATAAAATTGTTTACTATTTAATTGCAAAAGCTTTGGTTAGCATCGGAAATTATTTATTTTTAAAAACTTCAACAAATTTTAAAGTATGTCAGACCTGATTGTACTCAACATGGCTTTACTTAAATCTAATTTACTAGTTCAAATATAAATCAATTCAAGATATGTTAGTTGTTTTAAAAACTACATTAAATTAGCTACAATCCTAAAAGTATTTAAAAAAAAAAAAAATACTACTATCTGGAAAAATCCTAACAAATAACTTGGAAAATTCGTGAAATATAATATCAAATAGTCACTTAGGCCGTGTGGGTAACTTTCTGGTTGGTTGTATTAAAAAGCTAAGTACGTCATTCGCTTTAGCGGCTTATTCTTCATGAGGTTGGTTATCTTTTTTTCTTTCTTGGGCAAGATGAATGTTTTTTGATATAAGGACCTAAACCTACAGCAAAACAGTCATATAAAACACGGATTTCGGCGTAGCTCATCAAGTTTTTGCAATAGTGAATGTTTTTTCTTCATTTTGTTAAGTTTATAGAGTTCTATTTTCATATTCTGCTGCCGGAGGGAGAATCTGAAATACTTTAGCAAAATGTATGGAGAAAATAAGGCTTCTAGTATACATACTATGTACATGAAGAATACTGTGTAAAAATCTTGCACGCCTATATTTAATTAATTTTAAATAATATGACTTTTAAGTTAAGGCGTGCGAGTAAAGCGGCTAGACGACCGCGTAGGGTGCTACGGGGCGTATTCGTTGCATACGCAACTGCGGGTATATGAGTACGAGTTATTATTTTTATTTTTCTTAGTCTATCTTTTTTAAGTTTTCATTTAAATGCAATTTCCCCATGGAATCTTGATCGTTATGCAAAACTTAAGATAATTAATCGTGTAAGATAAGTGTGCCACCATTTTCGACGTTTTTGTTGAAAAATTAAATAACTCGTGAGATTTGCTTATATGCAAAGAACATCTATGCACATTTTTGACTTCTACGTAAACATAAACTTTATTTCAATTTTATTAATACATAGTATATATATAGGTCCGTATATTTGCCTGTTCGCCTTGAAATTTTGAGAATTTAGAAAATTAAAAATATGCGATTAAATTATGACAAACGGAAAATCTACAAATAACATTCCAAACATATACATATATGTACATATGTATTTGCCTACACATTTTTAATTAAATAATCTGGATTGAGGCAGCTTATCAGCGGCGCTCCCTTCACATGGACACACTTGCCCACGTCGTGACATTAAAACGCTTTGAAACCACAAGCAGCAAAAATGTCTGTCTAGAACTGAATTTAGTGCCAAACAACAAAATAGTCAACAAAAAATAGACACATTTTCTAGTTAGTGTAAGTACATTCATTCGTTATGGGGGCGTTATTAATCTGAAGAAATAAAAAATTAATAAGTAGTAAATTATTTTAGCGACAGCATCGCATGCGATTAAAATGTGATCAATACATGTACAAATGTGTGCTGGGCAGAGATTATGCGCGTATGTTTAGAATCGGTACAAAGTTCGTTTTCATTACAACAAATTGGTAACGTTGTGGGTGAAAATTTAAGGATTGACTATGTATGTATATCAAATACATATGTACACACAGTTGTTCACAAAATAATATGAGTGCGAGATATTGACCAGTTTCGGCTATTTGTCTTTTGTTTATTTAATGTTTACTATTTTTTTTAAGTTTGGCTGGCTATACAACAAATACCATATAAATTCTATGCTATAACTTCTACCTTTGTAAATAATTGTTGTTTTCCACAACATTTTTCATAAAAAACGGCATCAAGCTCAATAAAATTGTTAAATAAATAAAAAGTTCGGAGTCGGCATAAAACTGTAGGTCCTTTCCCATTGTGTGACAACAACAAGGCGTACACCACAAATCAGAGGAGAAGATCGGCCAAACACTAACTTATTGCATAAGCAAAATCTATTATGTATATTAAAAGAAGCAGAATCTTGCACAATATACCCACTATAATTTTTCTCTAAAAAAAAAAATATTACTAATCCTACCCAAGAATATTAAACAAAAATTTATATTTCATATCAAAATAAACTATATATTTTGTGCCTAGTTTTTCAATTAGTGATTTCTTCAGACGAATTGCATATTCATAATACGTATGTAAGCTGTTTTTTCTTCGGAAAAACTACAACAAAATTAATTTTTTTTTTTTTGAAATTTGCCATTTTTGTAATTTTTTGTCATTTGAACAGATGTTTTGAAATCGGCATCAAAAAATCTGTAAGAGCGATCAAATTCATCCAAATTTTGTTAAACCGTGTAATTAACTACAGTTATAAAATATGAATTAGTTTCTTAGCCAGGTTGTAGTTTTTAAACCACTATGCAATGCTTACATTTCAAAGTTCCCGACCCACGTCCGCTGAGCTGACTTTAGGCCCACAGTTCCAAGAGTAGACAATAAAAACCGAAATAAAACCGATGCTTCCTTTACTTGGCAACAACTTCACAAGAAGATACTCTTCAGCTCGTAAGGTGTGCAGTTTTCACAATGTCACTGCAAGTTGCTACCCATGTTAGCTTTAGAAGTCAGTATGCAGCTCTTGTCGGCCGCTGTGGTGCAGTGGTAAGCAGTGCGCGCTTCCACTCCGCAACGCCTGGGTTCAAACCCTGGTCAAAGCAACATCGCAAAAAATCTAGAAAAAAGGTTTTTTCTTAACAGCGTCGTCCGTCGGCAGGCAATGGCAAACCTCCGAGTGTATTTCTGCCATGAAAAACAGCTTCTCATCAAAATACAATCACCGTTCGGAGTCGGCGTAAAACTGTAGGTCCCTCCGCTTTGTGTGTCAACATCAAGGCGCACGCCACAAATCGGAGGAGAAGCTCGGCCAAACACTAACATATGTGTAAGCGCCAATCTATTATTATTATTATTATGCAGCTATCAAAAAACAATCAAGAAAAAAATAGCATACGGGTATTCTTTTTTCCATTTAAAAAAATCCTAGGGGGATAGAGCTTAACATTTTAAACTTTTTTTGCCCGCATATATTTTTGGATCACCCTAATGAACATCATGCATAGAAACAGACATACATATGTACATACATTCACATCATGGAAATGTACATACACATATATGTATATGTATGTTTACATTTATGAATACACAGTATTCCCTCTATCAAGCATTCCGGATGAAATAGTTTCCATCTTAAGTTAGAGCTCCACGTTGTGCCTGGCATATAAAACTTACATACATATGTAGCTTAATAAAGCAGAAATAAGGCGATTATAAAGCCATTTCCATACACACTTCTGATACTCCCTAAACAAATTTGCTCAATAATAATCGTTCTTTTATTCATATAAAAGCTTCCACCGGGATATAGAAATAATAACACAGTGCTCAAAAAAAAATATGGAATACGTCCAAAATAAAATTTATTTTAAGTTGTAGGTAGATTTCCTATGGTTCCTGAACCCTTCATTTTTTTTAATTAAAAAGCGTTATCTTGATTCATTGTTTTTCATCCAATTTTAAAAATCAAATATACCTCAGAAAGAGGATTTATAGACCTTTAGGTTAGGTATACCACTGCGAACGGTAACTGCTACGTTAAAGTGAGATTCTGGTTTCGGAGAGCTCCTCGGGATGAGCCAGAACGTACGAAACCAAGTTTCCAAGCCACAGTCCGGCAAAAACTGGGCAGTCTTAGAAGAAGTGTTGATATGATTCCACCTCGTCATCCTCAATGCAGCTGCCACAAAAGAGGGCAGTGCGTAAATCCCGTTTGGCCAGTGGCCAGTTAGTACACCTTCCATAATTGAGAGTTCAGCTTCGCGAGCCGAGGAGATCCCTAGACCGTCCCCGGTCCACCTTCAACCAGAATGACCTCGCTGTAGCGCAACCTCTGATTTTCCCCAGCGGTCGCTGATTTGACTCGAGGCCCACCTTCGCTCGTAGAATTCGTTTCAAAAATTCTTTATCTCACCTGCCGATTCTATAACGCCCTATATCAGCACATTTTCAACACATTTTGAAGTGAGATAGGGCGTTTTTGAACCGAATTCTGAGATAGGGTGTTTTCGAACTGGCTGCCGAGGTAGGTCGATCTTCCACTCAGCAGTCGATATATGTTTGTATGTGGTGGATTTTCAGATCTCCTGTATAGTGTGGCTAAAGAATTCATTAATATACATACATATTGCTCTTGACATTCTTCGGACGTATTAGTTAATAACGTCTCGTATATTTTTCAGAAAAAAACTTTATTTGGAAAATCATAAACTCGACTTTGGGTTAATCTCATGTGTATGTATGTACAGTGAGGAGTAAAAATGAGTGCATGGTGATTTTTCTTAAATATTTGCAAGGTTTCTAAAGATAAAATTTTGTTATTTTTTCATAAATAAATAAATTTGTACAGAGTTTCGAACAATTCAACAAATTTTCATTAACATTGAACTTTTTAAGTAATCTGAGTTTTTAAAAATTTTTTGGGTATGCAGTTTCATAGCCTAAGCGGCTGAAGAATAGCGTTGGTTTTTAATATTTGTTTTGCTGACGGCTTTGGCGTTTTTGTCTTGTGTTTTGTTTGGGTTAAAGCATGAACCACATTTTTATACAAAAAAAAATTACTTTATAAACATTGCAATCACATTTAACAAAACTCACCATGTACAAGTTTTTGCTCCCCACTGTATGTTAAAAAATTAAAAAGTTGCATTAGCTTTGTTTTACTATTTTGATTTTAACTTAATATCATATCTTGCTACCTTACTTTATAGGCTAAGCAGATACAGTTGTAGTCGCAAAAGCTATTCAAAAAAGTTAAAGATATTTTGCCTTCATTTTGACAAAACTTATCCGGGGAATACTGTATTCATATATATTACTGCGTTTGTTTATTAAAAAGTTTGTTATATAAATCGGGGACCAAGAGAGAAGCTTGAAATAACTCATCGTCTATAATTCTTTGATTTTTTAATATTGAGATTAAAAAGATGGCACGCTATTTAAGCGGTACTTAGTAGCTTATTAAGTTTCTACTGAAATTCAGTTTTCCGTCGGCAGCTCATATTTACGGTACCTCGGCTGAGCTGAAAATCGTTTGTTGCATGTCACCAACGTTGATCAAACATTTTGAAATAATTGGAACTGTGGAGATTTCCACTGAAAGGAAACGACTTTAAGCTAAAGGAAATATTGCGAAGGTAAAAATGGCGATCGATATTTTAAAGAAACAAGAACAAGCTAGGCAACGACGCTATTCACGATCAAAATTTAGTCGCGTCAATTCTTTGGATCAAATTCCAGAAGATCCTACCCAGGATCAGCATTCAGTGGCAACAGATTCATATAAACATTCAGCTGCGGTACATAAAACGCAATCGTTGCATAAAACACCGACAACCATTTGCACTGCTATGCGTCAAGTACTTCTGTTTTGGCCGCAACTGCTAATCAATTTAGCATTTACGATCATTCGGTTCATCGTTTACTTACCGTTATCAATAGCCGCACCAAGCTTCTGGCTTTCGGCTTTATTGTGGATGTTCTTGAAGTTTATCCGTATACCTATAGCACTAGTAAAATGGCTATTAAATGTCGATTCCCTGATGGACTTATCAACGGATGGACCGCAACACCATAAACGTACGGTGCTCATTAGTTGTGGTAGTACCATTCAAACTTTGCATTTAGCTCGTAACTTTTACTCATCCGGCTCACGCGTGGTGGTATTCGAATTCGAAGGTCTATTCGGATTGGCGCGCTTCTCCACTGCTGTGGATAAATTTTATATTGTGCCCAGACCAAGTTCTAATAATGTGGATAGCTATATATCTGCTTTATGTCAGATTGTCAGCAAAGAGAAACCATCCGTTTATATACCAGTTTGTGCAACCAGTCCAGCCTACTACGATGCACTGGTGAAGCAACATTTAGAGCTGCTCGGTTGCGCCAGCTTCATTCCGGGTTTCAATGAGACTAGAGTCTTGGACGATTGCCTTGAATTTTTCAAAAAATGTGCAGCTCATAATATTACCTTGCCGCCCTACTCTGTGCTCACTTCGCCAGATGATCTTCAACAATTATACGAGAACAACTTTATCAATAATTTCCGAAATATCCTAATGGCAGCCGGTTTTCAAGGTTTAATCGAACGTTTCAAGTATTTATTGCCGAACAACAGAATGGACTTCAAATTTAATCACCAGATAAGTGAAAAGGAAAAGTGGATTGTGATACGTGACTTGCCAGGGGAACACTATGTCACCTGCACAACGGTTAAAGACTCGCGCGTCGTATCAAATGTTACCTGCCGAGTTGAACACGAAACGAAGAATTTAATGCCAATTGGCCCACCCAATACAAATAATCCCACTATCATGTCGGACGAGGCGCAAATTGACATTTGGCTCAAGACGTTCTTTGCCAAGGTGCGCTTTCAGCGTGGCATAAATGGACATATGAGCTTCCGACTGATTAAATGTCAGGGTACATCGCAATTTATACCGCTAGGCGTACGTGTTGGCGTCTCTTTACCATACATCTGCTACAATCGTTCCCATGCTCAAGTACTCTGCCGAACTATGAAGTGCATACATCGAAGACAACTAAGTTTTACCAACCTAGATGAGGAATCTTCATTGGCGGCTTTGACAGCAAGCTTCCGCTGGAGCTCCAAAGAACGCTCCACTCCGACAACTGTGTTGGACAAAAGAGAAGCTTTGTTCGCTTATTGGGATCCGCTGCCATATTGTGCTTACTATCACTTTCAGTTGCCTCTCAAATCTGTCAAGATGTTCTTGCAAAGACGCCACCGATCTACAAAGACCTTATCGCCACGAATCACAATGCCAGTTCATTGAACACAGTGCATTGAGCAAAACGCGGTGCATTTAAAGTAAAGGCATATTGCCTATTTTACGGCAAGCAAACGTGCGCTGCCCTTGGGAGAGATCAATACATACATACATATTTACATATGCATATAAATGATTGCTAAGGATACATATGTATGTAGCTGTGTGTACGTATTTATGTATCTGCAACCATTTTCCCAACATAACAACTAATTACTTCCGTTCACTAAGAGAAAAAAAAGCGATCGAGTACAAAAAAAAAACATATCTTCAAGGTACATAAAAATGATGCGGAAAAATCGAGAGAGATGAAATAGACTGATGGTGGTGAGATGGATGGTATAGAATTGATTGAAGATTCCGGATGCGGGATAATTTTATGGTTTAATATTTAAGTCAACATAAAAGACATGTATGTATGTTTGTTCTAGATACTTTTAAGCATAGAGAGTTATTGTTTATTATAATAATATTTATTTTTATTAGTGTGTAAGATTTGGAACTAAGGGTTTATTTTGTTACTTAGAGTGTTAAGCTTTTGGTTATATAATAAGTATTTTTATAAAGCATTATTTCAGTATGTATCTTTAGTAATATAGTACCTTAATTTTCCAAATGAAAAAGTAAATAAATATGTGGCAACGCTATTCAAAAATTATTTTTGAATTGGGGATTTACCGTCAATTTTTTACCCATACTATGATATTTTATTTAATTTGTAATAAATTCGGAATAGGTGTCAACCTTATACGAGTATTTTCGGAGATAAGAGGTCTGTTCGATTAACGCACTAAAGTACTCTGGTGTCTGAAAAAGCTTGCAATGAGCGCTTCTCTTGCACTAAACGCATGTATTTTCTTGCGCCAAATGTCAGATGTTGCTTACACTTTTTAATGCACCCGTCGAACAGAGCTAATACCTGTTTAGATAATCTTAAAATGCAAAACATTATCTATATACAAAATTTCCTCAAAGTTATCGTTATGCTGGATTTCCACTAGCCATTAAATGGCAAAATTGACAAATGACAAAGTCGGGCATTATAAAACAATCGTGTCTTTACATTAAAAAAATTGTCATTAAGTGCATTTCTACATGGCATTTTTTTAAATGGCATACAATTTTTGTCATTTCAATGTCGAGTGGCATTAGAGCCGCTTCCGTGAAACCTATGAATATAAGTACATATGTATATATATTTATGTATATGCAAGAATTGATCGTTTAATATAATGAGAATATATAGATGCTACTGTAGTTCAGTACTCACTTCAACGTTACCTCCTGTATATTTTACTATACGTGTGAATTTTTCTTAAAGCTCAGATAGTGTAGACTTATAGCCCAGTTGTGCATACTTGCACTGCTATACCATTTTTACGTAAAAATCAAAACCCAACAGAATTCTACATGTTAAGTGCTATGCATTGGGTAACGGCTTGCACGCAAAGCCCATTTAACAGATTCTTATGTGACAACTCTCATGCAACGCTAAGTATGCATAACTATTTAGGCTATAAGTTTTCGTAACTTAACTTAACATAATATTTTGACCAACCTGTAATATGAGAAACTGTGTTGGCGATTAGTTAAAACTTAACTTACCGTAAGAAACTTAAGAATCTGTTGGTTTTAGGTTCTTAAGTTACGGCCATACGGAAATGTGAAAAAGAAAATACAAAAATAAAATATTTCCACTCTTAGCTTAAGTTGACGTGTTGAGTAATCATTGATGATTTTTTGCGGTAAGCTAAATTAAGTTAAGTCTTGACTAACTAAGCTTTTAGGTTCCTAAGTTACGACCTTACGAAAATTGAGAGCGATGAGAACGCTCTTTTTTTCGGGTGAATTGAATTTTGATGTGGTATTATTGGCGGCGAACTGTCAAACAGCTGAAACAGAAAATACAAAATCAAAATATTTTCGCTTCTAGCTTAAGCTGACGTGTTGAGTAATCATTGATGATTTCTTACGGTAAGTTTAGTTAAGCTAGGTCTAGACTAACTGAGCTTTTATTATTCAACACTTGCTTATTGGGATTTTTTTACGTAGTAATTTGGGTTTTTATTTTCAAGAAAACATTTACCAGTCGGCAACATTAGAATAAAACAGGCCTTCTGGACTCCTTGTCACGGTTGCCACTTTGGTAAAATGTTACCAAAATTGGTAACTTTTATTCTCTTTGGTAATTTGGTAACTTAATTCGCTTCACCTGTTTACAATGCTTTATAAGTACACTGGATTTCTTTTTTTTTCTTATAAAAAAAAAAATAAATAAAAAACTTAAATATTTAGTGCAATTTTTTTGAAGGCCTTGGTTTTGGTATTATTAGATGTTTTCACTGCATACAATTTCAAATCTGGAATAAGCAGCCTATGATTAATAAGGCCGTTTACGAGACTTCTCCCAATAGTTTTGATCATCATTGAACAGCTTCCCTGCAAACCAAAGTTCCCGAAATCTTAAGGAAATCGTTCGGAGTATCTCATTTCTGTAACGATTTTTCACGAATTTTCAAAGAAAATTATATGAACTGGTTGACACGAACTCGTAAAGAAATTTCTATACGAAAAATAAAGAAAATTCTGGAAAAATTCTGAAAGATATTCTTCACATAGCACCATTATTTTCGTTGCTTCACATATTTTCTTACGAAATTTCGTAAAAGAATGGAAGTGTGCGTAATTTATTTCATTTTGATTTTGAAAATTCGGCAAAAAATCGAATTAGATCTTAACGAATTCTTTAAAATTTCTTTACAATGCAGTATACTCTGAAAAAATGGTTTGCAGGGTTTTGACATTGAATGTATGTATGTATGTAAGTACCCATTTTTTATATAAATTAACCCACCCCACCATGCAAAACATGAGACATAAGCAACAATCGTCAATGGCAACAAATGGGCGACTCACCGATCTGTTGCTGTGGTGACAAATCGGCAACATCATTTCTTTCATGTCAATAAATAAGTTACCAAAAATTCCCAAACTTATACATTTCGCGTCAATAGTATTATCCAAAATCGTCTAATTTTTACCAAGGACAAAATTGAAAAAATAAGAAGCCCCATAGGGAAAGAAAAAATTATTTCCGTTTCCGTTGGGACCGAACAATTTTTGCTGCCGGCAATAATAAAACTAATAATATTGCCATCGTATCGATTTCCTATTACCAGTCGCTCTAAAATGTCCGCCGAAGGCAACTCGCCTGGGCGAGTCGTTTTCTTATTACCTGAATGAGTCATTTTCTTATCGCTTCAGGCGATATTTGGAATAACGTCATTCTTTTTAATCTTCAATTATTTTTTGTATACCAAATTGGAACTTACATAGAAACGGAAATAATTCTTTCTTTCCCTATGGGGCTTCCTATTTTTTCAATCGTGTCCTTGGTAAAAATTAGACGATTTTAGATAATATTGTTGACGCGAAATGTATAAGTTTGGGAATTTTTGATAACTTAGTTATTCCAAAGTTGACATGGAAGAAATGATGTTGCCGATTTGTCACCACAGCAACAAATCGGTGAGTCGCCCATTTGTTGCCATTGACGATTGTTGCCTATGTCTCATGTTTTGCATGGTCGGGATTAATAATAATAATAGATTGGCGCTTACACATATGTTAGTGTTTGGCCGAGCTTCTCCTCCTGGTGGGAATTAATTTCACTAAAAGTGGACTTAGCACCACTGATGGAAAAGTAGGCACAATAGTGCCATTTTTGGCACTTTCATTCACAAGGGCACTTTGGGCACAATCATAAATTATAGAAATTTAGCCAGTATATAACAAACAATCATATATTACTCATAGATTCGAAAAGTGAAAATTAAAATCACTTAAAAATTAAAATAAAGGTCATTATATAAAATTAATAAAAATTATTCAATGTATAAGGAAGAATAGTCAAAACTGGTAGAAATGTCGCACTGCTATTATTTCGCACATATGTAGGTATTTATGCATATGTGTAAACAGGACCGAGTAGCTATATTTCAGTGTTTTTCACCTACGTAATCGGAATATTGTGCTATTTTACTATGCTTTAGTATATATTTTAAAAAGCAGACAATTTGGCCCATAAATGCATTAGATATAGACTTTTATTTTTTGTTTGTCGCGGTAGACCCCCGAAGGAAACACCCATATATAGTTCTTAAAAAGCCTTAAAAGAAAGCAATTTCACAAGCAATTTTGTGGCACTTTCATATCCTATTTGGCACTATTTTTGCAGTCCATTAGGCACATTTTAAAATTTTGGAGTTCCATCCCTGCTTATTTAGCACTGTCTCACCTTTATATAGAGATACTATATTTAAAACTTACGCGTCATCATAGTAGATATTTGCATTCATACGTATGTATGTATTCTTTATGACTTCATATTGATGCCTACTTTAACACGTAGTTTTTACGTGTTATTGCCTTCATTTTATTTATTTTTTTAATCACAATTGAATTATGTATGTATGTATATGGATTTAAACAACATTTTCGAAATAGTTGTTACTCGAATTGTTATAGTGAAATTGACTGCATGAATTCAATGCATAATGATCATCTTTAAACCTGCATTTAAGCTGCTAAGTAAACCACTAAAGCCCAAACATTAAACATTCTTATTCGTATACCGAATTATGTACATATGAGCATATGTTTGTAAGTATTTATTTGGTATAATTGTTTTGTTCGCCACTTGTCGCAAAGTTTCCATGGAAATATTTTTACGTTATTGTATGCGTTGTTGTAGTTATTCGCTTATCTATCCCACGCGACCAGTGCCAACATGCACTTGTATCCTTTAGCTACGTACATACATATGTACATATGTATTGTAGTACATTGCAGTGTGGTGCACGTGAGTGACGAAAGCACCCCTACGTCCTTTCCTCAATTTCGTATTCACATATCGTACTAGTATGAGAACTCAGTTGGAATAAAGTTTTTATTATTACCTTCCTTTTATTAGCTCGGGATGTAACTATGTAATATTGATGCCCCTAAAAGATGCAGCGATTTCCATTCCCAAGTTACATACCTGATGACAGTACGAATGGCAATTATAATAGGGAGGTTTTAGTTTTTTAAACTATAATTTTATTTTATATTATGCAAATTGAAAAAAATTTACCAAATACATTTCATTTAACTAATGATATGGTATTTGAGATCACATTAATGGCATCTTCTCGTTTTCCTTCAACCAAAACCGAAAGTGATGAAACTAAAGGCAACAACGAAACTTCATCATGTGAAAAAATA